AGAGGCTGGCAGATATATAAGGCCGACTGGACTAGACAATTGCTCACTTTCCACGAATATAGTACAAAACTTAACTAAAATATGTAACTAATAGTACAACTACGTAAAATATGAAAAGCACTGAAATAGTTTACAGGTCACAACAAAAAGAGGATAAAGTGCAGTGTTTTGCCTGTAAAATATTTAAATTGAAACAATCTTTAACACATATATCGTCGTCTCAGAAAACGGATGTCGAATGTTACAAAACACGGTTTTGAGAAAATTGACTTTGAAGTTTAAGGTCGAATTAATCCGAAACTGTACGGTAGATTTTTGTAACTTTTGAAGGAGACGTAGTTGGTGTTATTAGTTTTGATTTTCCATATTTTTACATTTAATATCTCTTAACGTTAATGAGAAAATTTACTTTTCATTCCGTATACATTTGTCGTAAGTAGCGTTTACTCACCACTTTGTTTTGTCCACAGAACATACGACAATAGTAAAGTATCTATTTCAACGACGATGGTATAATTTGATGAAAAAACCAGACATATTTATTAAATAATGATTACTTATTAGAAAAAACATAACAAAAACATAATCATGTATTTAATAAAAAAAATCTGTACATCTCTTATGCTGTAAATATGTTACGAACATACGTTTTCTTTATATAAAAACAAAAAACAATACTTAAATTCAGTCTTTTGTACATTTTTATCTCTTTCATTTCATTGGAGACTCAGTGCAAGCTAAAATTTAAAAATTTAAAATTTTAAAATTAGTTACTTAGTTTAATTTTCAATTTTAATTGTATCGTTATAGTAGAGGACCATCGAATTGTCGTAAGTTCAAAGTTTTGCGATACATACGACAAATGTTTTATGATTAAAAAAAAGGTACGTTTGTATGGGAATTTGTCGTATGTGACGCATTTTCAGCACATACAACAAAAGGCATACCCAATCATTAATATTATGTAACATACGACAAAATGCGCACGAAATATCTCAAAAACTAATGGAGATATAAAAAAATGGATTGCAGAAATCGAAAGAGCATGTCCAACTTAGTAAATCTGCATCAAAATCCCAAAATCGTCATTTTGCACATTCGTCATCCGTTTTCTGAGGCGACGATATGTGCGTTACGCTGCGATTGTGTGCTTAGTGGTGTTAACCGCAAAATATTCCAATCATTTGATGCGAATGTGTAAACTGATGCGAACCATACGTATAATGAATGCGACTTCAAATATTCGCAACATCCCTGGTATGTATGTATGTGTTGCTGCAAGTAAAATAATAGCAGCAAAATTCAAAATGATGATTTTGGTAACTTATGTTTATTTATTTATTGTTTATAATTTTCATTTAAAATATGGGTTGATGTATATCAGAAACCGCATAAATAAAAGTTACAAAGCTTGCACAAATTTCAATTTTTTTATTAAGATTTTCTAGAAATAGTTTGATTATGCTATTTCGTAGATCATTCAATTTTAGTATAACAAAGGGTAAGTTTCAAGTCCCCAAAAGTTACCGTTCATTTGTTAGACTTTTTTTGTCGAGGGTGTTGCGCAATATTTTCCATATAATGCATGAACAAAATTTATTTTTATATGGAAGACAATGCCTTTATTAACAATAAATAAATAAACATAGCTTGCCAGCAGCATCATTTTGAGTTTTGCTGCTATTATTTTACTCGCAGCTATACTTATATATACTTACTTGTAGGTAAGCAAACATTGATTGTTGCAACGCTATGAAACTTTAGGCTTTCCTTTTGCTTATATGTACATATACCTACAGTCAAACTTCTCTATACTGAACTTCTGAATAACGAAGTCTGCTCTATTGCGATTCGACCTTAAGAATGGTGCTTTTTCGTTTTGATTTTAGTGTAATTTGTTCTCTATATAAAGAAATTCCAAGTAGCGAACATTTCTGTATAAGAAAAAGTTTGTGCAGCCTTAACTTGGAACTAGAAGCATTTCTAATCACTATATAACGTCTGAAAAACCCGTATTTATGGCCCGATTAGTTTCATATTTATAGCGCATATTACTTAAATATATATAACATTTTTAAATATTTTTCTTTTTTGTTAACCAATAATAAAAGCTAGTATTCAAAGTGTATTCTTTTAAATTACTTGTTTTTTAATGAGTCTGTATGCAGAATGCTTGCCAAGAAAAATATACTGTGTTCAGGCAAATCCTGAAATTTGGAAAATGGCAATTACAATTGATAAAGAATGTACACGAAAAAAACTGGTCACAGTTAAAACGTTCTAAAACATAAATATATTAATGGAATTCAACGATATTTACATATATTTACATCTAAACTTAGTTTTATTGAAATTCGTTAAAAAAGAGTTAATTCTCCTTGTAATAAGCAAACGATCGCAATTTTGACTTTATGTCCTTCATTAGCCCTTGCACAGAAGTTTCAGTGATTTCCTTGGAAACCAGCTGCCATTTATTTTTGAATTGTTGTGCGTTTTTTACAGCTTTGTGGGTCTTAAGAAGTTTGGATTTCATAACGGCCCAGTAGGTTTCGATCGGCCGATGCTCTGGACAATTAAGTGGATTCACCTCTTTTGCTACAAAATACACTTTATTTCTATGTTATCATCCTAAAGCCATTTTTCCGTAATGCCAAAAAAGCACTGGATCTTTATGAAGCCGTATAAGAGGTAAAAGTCGCTTTTGCAGACACTCCTTAACATAAATTTCTTGGTTAATTGTACCAGTGCTTACAAAAGGATCACTTTTGAAGCCGCATTGGCAAATTGCCTGCCAAATGAGAAACTTTTTGGGAAATTTGTCAAACTTTTTGTTTTTATATTTATCTGCAACATTGCCTCTTTTATTTGCAGTGTGAAATTCGCGGCCCCGGATTTGTTTAAAATCGGCTTTTACGTACGATTCGTCATCCATAACAATACAGCCAAATTTTTGTATGAGACTGTCGTACAATTTCCGAGCACGTTGTTTCGCCAACAAATTTTGCTTACCGTTGCGATTAGGTGCTGCATTCACTTTGTAAGAACGTAGTCCTGCTGTTTTGCATACTTTTTGTATATACGAAGACGACATGTTTAATTTTTTGCCGACATCTCTTACCGAAAGTCCAGGATTTTTCTTAAAAGCAGATAACACTTCCTTTGCCTTAATTTCGCAAGCAAATCCTTTTTTTCTGCCACTACCAGGGTTCCTTTTTAAAGATAAACATTCATTGTATTTTTTAAGCACATAAGTAACGGTAGACTTTGGAAATTTTAGCTTTTTTGCGATGTCGTTATGGAACATGCTGGGATTTTCCAGCTTTTTGCGCAATATTAACTCGCGATCGATTTCTTTCTTGGTCCTCGTTTCTACACTGATTTTTGTTACTAAAAAGAAATGATGCAGTAAGGTGGAAAATGCTTCCAGCTTTTTAAGTGTCTACCGATTTTTATTTTAATGTTATGATTAACCGAGCTATGCTTGGTTATGTGCGACCAGTTTTTTTCGTGTACATTCTTTAATAGTTACCGCAAATATCCCATCGCCCACACTTTTGGCAGCACCTTTAAGTTTGCTTTTCAAGCTCTTGTCAAAGCAACATCGCAAAAAAATATAAAAGAAGTTTTTTTCTTAACAGCGGTCGTCCCTCGGCAGGCAATAGCAAACCTCCGAGTGCATTTCTGCCATGAAAAACAGCTTCTCATAAAATTACAATCGCCGTCGGGTCCCTCACCTTTGTGTAACATCAAGGCGCACGCCACAAATCGGAGGAGAAGATCGGCCAAATACTAACATATGTGTGAGCTCCAATCCATTATTATTATTTAAATTTGCTTTTACATCCTGCGATAATCAATTAATAAATGGCTCCGTGTATAAGTGCTTCCGTAGAAAAAAACGATTGATCATAAAGGCAATGGCAAGGGGAGAGATTCCAAAAAAGAAGACATTGCTAAGAAATTTAGGATTCTTCCCAGTGGTTCAAATTTTAAACGGAAGAAGCCTTAGAAATGAAAAACAACGTATCAAATACCGTATTTGCTTTTCTTAATGTATTCCAAATTTTTGTTGAAGAGGAAAAGTGGTAAAAATAAGTTCTAACCAAAATAACTGAACACTTCAAACAAAAATGTTAAAAAGCCTAATATTTTCCTTTTTCTATATAACGAAGTAGTTTTCCGATTTTTGGGATTCGTTGTAGATAAGTTTGACTGTACATACATATGTAGTAGGGTTGTTGCGAATATTATTCTGAAATAAAAGTTCTTTCCGGATAATAGACAAACGGCTTATCCAAATTAAACAAGTTTGGTACCAAATGAAAGAGGATTTAAATAGCTTTAAAACTGAAGTGTCTAAACGAAGAAAGCCACATATTGAAAAATATTTCAATAAAAAATTTAACTACTTACCATAAAACAAATCTTGTGTATATATATGGTATATGAATTTCTTTAGTATTAAATTATAAAAAAATATAAATAGAGGTCGTTCGCTATTTCTGTTTAAAAGCTATTTCAGGCCTCTTTCATAAGATACCAAGTTTGTTTAATTTGGACAGGCGGTTTGTTTATTAAGCGGACAGGACTTTTATTTCGGAAAAAGATTCGCAACAACCCTAGTATGTATGTACGTGCGACTACTACAATAAGTAGAATGACCAACCAATTAGTCAAAGCCAACTCGTTAATTCAATGTACAGAAGTTTGTTGAACTTGTGAATGCCACTTCATAAAGCAGGTCCATCGACCCACTTCAGCTACATTCACTGCGAATTCACACTTAAGTGCATTACTCAAACATCTTTCCCAACTAGTTAGCTGTTTATGTATTGCAAATACCACTTGTTGCATGTCCATATTTATACACATAAATGCAAACTTACATATCTGCATAGGTACATGCTAGTAGTGTGTGCAATATAGACATAGTTACAAATAAATTAAATTTAAAATGAAAAAATGTATGCATGTATGTATGTATGTAGGTTTGTACTTACATGTTAACACCACAGCCATTTTGCCCGTGTAGACCAATAATAAAATCGTACCGTACAAATAGACATAGTTGCCGAGCACAGTGGTCGCTTTATCGCCAACATTCATATACAAGTAGCCAAATACTAAACCGATTACAATGTGTGACATCAGACGAGCCAGCAGCAGAAACTGTAAAATAAACATTAAGTAAAAATAATAATTTTTACTAATTCACACACTTAATTGCCTCAGACCCGTTTGGTGGACGGGGTCTGTTAAAGAGTTGCATTTATTAAAAAAAAAAAACTAATAATGACGCGAACCTCAACAGCTATAATGGAAATGACCAAAAATTAAATGGCAAAGCGTTAAAACCAAATGTAAAAAAATTGGCAGTGGTAACGCCACTCAAGCAAAAGTATGTTAAGGTTATTGCAATAAAGTTGCATGCAACTGGCTTAGCCGGATGGCGGCCGACAAGAGTCTTATACATATGTACGTAGTATACAAATAAATATACAGTGTAACGTTTCCTAACAGACACATATTAGATGGAAACGAATGAAAATATTTTTCTAACCCAGGTCTTAGGTATAATTTTCGGAACAAATTAGCCTCTCTTGAGTGGAATCTTTTTGGGCTGAACGCGGATACTTATTTTTATAAAGTTAGTACAAAAATCTCTTATCAATGAAGAAAATAAAATGTAACTTTTTTATGTAGAATTTCGTTTAGTTTGCTCAGTCCTTTTTGTTCAGGCATAGTGTAATTATATGTAAATGAAATACTTTTGAAAAAATTCCTAACGATGTAACATTACATCAATTAAACAAGTAAGAAAGTCTAAGTTCGGGCGGAGCCGAACATTAAATACCCGCCGCAAGTATTAAATATATGTTTTTTCACCTTTCCGAAACCTACCGCTAGATGGTAAGCCGGGGTGTATCAATTTTGAGTAAATTAGCGTCCCTAAATTTCGAAATATTGCAGTTTCAAGCATTTCTGAAATTTACCGTTATATAAAAAGCGGCTGTAATTTTAGTCCGATTTCAATAATGTTCAACGTATTGCTTTTATGTGGCAAGCACAATAACCGTACCGAGTTTGGCACAAATTGGTGGAACGGTTACCGATATACATATATGTGATCATAAGTGGGCGGTGCTACGCTCTTTTGCAAAATTTTACCATACACGTATTTTTTGGTAAAGAATTGTTGCAAGCATCAATTTTGAATAAATTAGCTTAATATTTACTGATTTATCGAAGATCTTGTATTTCTCTAAATTACCGTTATGTGGGATGTGGGCGTGGTTATCGTCCGATTTTTTTTAATTTAGTAGGCTGTACCAATGCCAACAACTGTGCCAAGTTTGGAAGAAATTGGTGCAGCGGTTACGAAGATATACACATGTAACCATAAGTGGGCGTGGCTACGCCCATTTTCCAAAAATTTATAATATTCTTATTTTTCGTCTAAAAGTTATTGTAAAGAACACTTTTGAGTGAATTATCTTCAGTAGTTGCTAAAATATCGCAGTTTTCGTATTTCTGGAAATTACCGTTATATGGGAAGTGGGCGTGGTTACAATCCGATTTCGCCCATTTTCAATACCAACCTACCTTGGATTAATGGAAACCTACATACCAAATTTCGTTGAGATATCTCAATTTTTGCTCGAGTTATCGTGTACACGGACGGACGGACAGACGGACGGACAGACAGCCATGGCTTAGTCGACTTCTCTATTCATTCTGAGCATTTATGTATACATTTGTCTATATCTATCTCGATTCGTTTGGGCTGTTACAAACAACCGTTTTGTGAACAAAATTAATATACCCTTGTGCACAAGTGCGCTCGGGTATAAAAATTCTAAAAATACCCATCCCCTTGGGCGGACACTCAACTATTGTCCCCCTAAGGGAGACTTCACTGTATACATTTATGCACCAATGCATAGGTATTTAACTATGACTATGCCCTGCAGCGAGTGATGTTAACCTTAATCTTACTTTATTCTGCTTACGCGAGCACTAGAGCTGACTATTTACTTTATCTTTTGTTAAAAAAGCTAACTGTGTACTGTTTTGTAAGGCGATGGCTGAAAAAGTCAGACCTAGATACCCCTGCATTAGGTCTCAACAAATTTGCAAATTTTGGTATTTCTTTAAATTTTTAAGTGTTTATTTGTTTACTCCATGCATATCAACATTACATATTTGTTTATTTGTTCACATATGTATTCTGCTGTAGGTGGTCCCATATTTTTATTACGTCGGACATAATATCAAAAGGATAATATAAGACATCGATCTTCATTTAATTTGTCCTGAATTCGAAAAAGTATTTATGAAGCGCGGATAAAAAGTTTATTCAAATAAAATAGAATTTCCCGATTACGTCTGCATGACGTACAACTCACTTCAAGTTGGTATTGTCATAGCTCAACTACCAGTTCTTTATTTTTAACAACTGATAATTTTACACTGAAGGGTAGATAAGATGCGCATCCTAAACATGTCTGCAAATATACGTCCCTGAGAAAAAAATTATCAATTGATTAAAATAACCAACTTCTAGTTAGCTTTTTCGCGGGACTTCGATAAATAACTAACTTTTAATTAGCTATGACAAAACTAACTTTGAGTTAGTTGTAAAGTCGTGCAGAAGTCATGCAGACGTTATCGGGAGTTTGTTTTCTTTACTGAATATGATAAAGAATCTGCGAAGTTCAGAAAAAAAGTGTATTGAAAGTTATTTTTGTTTGATGACGTAATTTTATATTACCATTTTGATGTTATGTCTGATCGAATTCAAATATGAGACGACTTACAAAACAACATGTAAACAAATAAGCAAATATGTGATGTTAAATAAAATAAGTGAATGAAAAAAATATAAAAAATTGAACAAATCTTTTTTTTGTTGATAGTTTATGTCCAAAAGTAGTTAGCTACAAGTTAGTTGACATCTAACGCAGAGGAAACCAGTTCTCACTAGTTTGCGGCCATCGCCCTTCAAAAGTGTTTAGTTACGGCCAAAGGAAATAGTTAATAAATAGTTACCACTAGTCGACTGCTAGTTAGTTACAAACTTGTCCCATTTCCCGCAGGGTATGTATATAAGTAAATTAGTATGTAAGATGTACAAGTGTTTGTATATATGTCGTCGTTTAAAGTTCAAAACCGCGTATGGACAAAATGCAAAACCGCGTATCAAGATAATGCAAAACCGCGTATGTGAGGTTGCATAAATTATTTTCTAGAGAGTAAAACACTCATATTTCAAAATGGCTCTCTTTTTTTTAAAGTAATCGCATTTCTGACTAGTATATTTCAGGACAAATGGATAAGGATTGCGCCAAGAGCTTGTAAGAGCAAATGCAATTTTTGGCAGCCAATGTCAGTTACGCGGTTTTGCAGAATGACGATACGCGGTTTTGTACTTTAAACGACGATATGTACATAGCTAGGCACATATATATTTATATATACTCTGAAATTGTTAGGTACAATCCCGTATTCCTCGGACTAAAACTAGTAAAACTGTCAAAAAATAAAAATTCGCTCAGAGCGAGAGAGTAACATTGAAAAGTACGGGATCGCTTTCTAGTAAAAAATGGTAACTTCTGTCAACTTCAACATAACCTCCTAATTTTGGTTGTAAATTTTTGCTTATTTTATATGTAAACACACTCAGCTCACGCATGTAAATAACCAGAAATACTTTCAAATTCATTAGAATCCACTTAAACAAGTAGTTAAATATTTTTCAATATGAATTAACAGAGTACACTTTTCTTTTGTTTACAATTTGGTTTCCAAACACACTACAGCTGATCGTTTGACACATTTACCACAATTTGCTAGCAAAAAATTCTCGGACTAAAACTGGTAACTTCTGAGAGAGAGAGAAACGTACTTACTCTCTGTTTTGTCCTCTCAATAGTCAGAGTACCGAGTACGGGATCGATTTCCAGTAAAATCTGACTGATTCTGACTATTTCTGACTAGTCCGGACTCGTACGGGATCGCAACTGTTGATCGTATTCGAGTCTTTTTTGTGCCCTCTGCGCAGTCTGACGTTTGCCAGCAATATTAATTAAAAATTCAAAACCCAAACCCACACACACATTCTCATTTTCAATCTCAAACAACAACAATTGTGAACAATTTCATTTTTTATTTTCAATTTTATATGATTTTAAAATGCTTGCAAACATAAAAAAAATCCTGGCCGACGAATTAGAGAATGAATTTACTTTGTTCTTTTGTATGATGGTTTTGACTCTTTTTCGGGTCGTATTTATATTTATTTGTGAGTTTTATTCGAATAATATTTCAGTCGTATTTCTAAACATTTTCGAGTCTTTTGCTAGTAATTTTTCAGTTGTATTTCTTATCATTTGCGAATCTTCTCCGAATCATTTTTCAGTCGTATTTGTAAACGTTAGGGAGTTTTTTTCGAGTCATTTTTCAGTCGTATTTCTAGTTATTTTTGAGTCTTTTTCAGCCTATTTTCAAATCGGTTGGGCTGCGAACAATTAAATAAGTATTAAATTAGTTTATAATCAGCTACTGAGCATATTTTATTGAGTTCAAAAGAAGCGTTAATGAAACAACGAAATTGTTTTTTAATAAAATTCATTATTACAGTTGAAAGTATTTCAAAATTACCCTCCTGGATAAAAGGAATTGACACAGAGAACTTTTCACAATGTATGCAAAGTTTTTTATTCCAATTTCATTCTAAACTTTATGCAGAACTCAGAAAAATTCAATGAATTCGCTACTTTTTAAATAGATCTTCTGAGTGCAAGTTCCAAGTTACAAAAAATCGCGTTGATTTTTGACAATTTCTTTCTGGAAGTGCCTGCCATATAAACAAATGGCGAACATACTTTGTATAAGAGACATTCAGCCGTATTCTGACAAAGTCACAAACTTTAGCTCATCACTGTTGTGATTTCTACTGCGCCTCAAAGCTTGCCGCTGCAAAAAATATGCCGCTACAATACAAATTTTTTAATTTTTGTTTATTTTTCTAGCACTTAATATCGAATTTTTTGTGACACATTTCTCGGCGCACTAGAAATCACAACAGTGATGAGCTAAGTTTTGTGACTTTTAGAATAGAGGGGATTGTCAGAAAAAAATTGCCAAAAAGCGCGTTGAAAGTTGGAAAT